AAATCAAATGTCAAATTTCCCGAAAACCACACTTTTCAGCTTTACAACCCAATACGCATGAGACCGTGCCTTGCAGCAACGCAAAACCTCTTCAGGCTTGTCCTTGTTCCATGCTAAGTACAATGGTGTATAGTTGTACGTGTTTTGAGCATATGTTTACGATATATGGTTTCGTTAATGTCAATGTTGGCCCGCCGTGCGTTCTCCTTTTGTGTGTAGGCAGGGACGTAGCCAGAGGCTTGCCGAGGGGAACACGGGGTTGGCAAAATCCACTCTTATGGTGATCCCTAAAAGATCCCTGGATATAGCTTACTTGTTAACAAAGACACTGTTTACCTTGTTGTATTTTTATGTTTACATTGCAACCAGACCATAAGCCAGAAGCTACGGTGAGATCAATTATATTTGTATGCTAAAGTCAATAAAGTTCAGAAATTAGGCGTTGAACATCCGCATGGTGCAAATCGCACGCACTCTTGATTTGCACTGGTTTAGTGCAGTCTTTTTAAACAGATAAAATTAAAATCCTTGTTAAAGTTTTTATTTGGGTTCTACACACATTAAGGACATCTCAAAGACAGATTAGATCGATATGATTGATCCAAATTTGGAAATGAAAATCTTATTGTGGATCGAGTGGCCAACAATGTGCATCAACAAGGCCAAGCCACGTCCATCTGGAGATATTCACCGCCGAGTCAGAATTGGTATGTGATATAATTTATGTAACATGTTTTTTAACATGCGCGCTCGCAAATCTTAACAAAATCTCGACACCAGGCGTTGCAGTCTCCATGGTCTGTGGAGCGTCAGCTCGGCGGCTAACGTTTCGCCGTGGTCCACTGGTGGACGAAACATGATGGTGATTCCGAAAAGATTATTTTTAACGACTTGAATTGATAAGTAATACATTTGATGTGACGTAATTTTGAGCATGCGCACTCGGAAATCTTAGAAACAAAAACCTCGGCTCAAGGCGTTGCAGTTTCCGTAGGCCTGACAGCGTCGGCTCAGCAGCTAATACTGAGCCGTGGCGATAATACTGACGAAAATGATGACGCTTCTGAAAGAAGTATCTTTTGCTTCATGGCATAAGATCTTACATTTAGAAGGCAGTCTGGGCGCATATTTCGTGTGTGCGATTTTTAGACTGATGTTAAGAACGGATTGGCCCTAAAGGCACCGGGAAGTGGGGCTGGAACCTGGTGGTTGAACTGGAAGAGTAAAGGTAGAATCTCTATTTTTCGTGTTTCTGTGACTGTCAATCTGTCCAGAAAACAGATAACACGGCACCCACCGTCTGGTGGCGCTTGCAGTGGCCGAAGCCTTTCGGTTTTACAGAAGCTGCAGCCCAGATAATTCGTTGTCCTGGCTCTCGAGGCTACGGGCGGGCGTGCTCAAACCTCTTGATGTAATTTGTTCCACTAATTCATTCTAAAAAATAGACGTGTTCAGGAAAGCATGGGATGGCCTTGTTCGTTTTTAAGCTGATTTCGATCCACTCTACTCAACCATACTGAGACCCCCTATTTCCTTTCGGACAAGGGGCACCTTGGGTAAAACACCAGGGGCGCACTACCGGTTCCAGTCAAGGGCTGAAGGGCCATTGCATCCCATCGCGAAGTGTCGTCTGGCTGCCATTCTGGCGACACGGGGCAGGATCTCCTGATCGATCCGGACGCCATTGGAAGGATATATCATATTGCATTGTTCCCCTCCCTGACACGGGAGGGCCTTCTGACCCGCGCGGTTGACCCCTAATCAGCGCAGGAGCCGACATTGACCCAATAACTTTCCTGGTCGCCAGAGGTGGTCAAATAATTGTCACAAAGACTCTATTTCCAGGTTTTTCTGGGTTCTCCATAGATATCGAAGACCCACTGAACGTATATTACAGATGAAAGGGGGCCCAAATCTGTATCAACATGGCTAATCCATGTTCATCTTAAGGTGTTGAAGATTCAGTCAGAACGGATTACTGATAGCAAACTATGTCATATGGTTTTGAACATGCGCGCTCGCAAGTCATAGCAACAACAGCCCCGACGCCCGGCGTTGCAGCCTCTGTAAGCTGCGCGGCGTTGGCTTTGTGGCTGTGACACTAAGCGATGGCCAATGAACAGACGAAAAATATGACGCATTTTGAGGAAGATTCCTGGTGAAACATGCAAATCGGCGTGTATGTGCAATGTATTGCAAAAGTATGCCAAACACAGCCTTAATCTGAAAAGTGGAGAAAGGGGCATTTATCACTGCTGCCCCCCACCTTGAAAAGTGAGGGGTGGTCATGACTCCCTGGCACCTACACTCTTGATTGCAGTTCAAACTCCCATACAAATGTGGAATGTGGAGCACTCACTTCAAGAAGCCCCTGCCTGCGATTATCTTTCCAGATATTTCGCCAAATCACCGGTGAGGTGCGTCCGTGCTCAACACCTAGCCCCTCTCTTCAGCTGTTTGTGGAGCCGGCAGGGGCGTGATAAACCAGGATAAGTTGGGGTAAGCGCTGTCGCCGTTGTTGAATGCACCGGGTGCCGGCCCTACGTTCTCAAAGCTGCAACAGTTAGAATAGAGGCATGCAATTGACCTGCTCTTTAAAACGACCACTTCAATTAACCTATGATGGCATCACACAATGGTGCGCATGAGAAAGTGCATAATGGTAACGTCATAGCTGCAAACATCCTTAAACCAAAAACTTGCGTTCAAATTACATCAGCGCGTTACGTGTATGCATGAACTAATCACAAGTATCGCCGCTTCACAAATGCATGACACTACTCAACCATGCCAGACGTACACCAAACACGGGCATCATGGACGCGACTGGTCGCGTGGGCAGAGGCAGCGAACACCTCGCGGTTCGGTTCCGCGGCGGCCATCACATTAAGGCTCGTGGCTCGGTCCGATGTCGGTCGACTTTATCGGCCACATCGCTGATGTTTACATGCGTCCCATTTACGCACCCCGAAAAACATGTGACGGGTGCAGGAGATTCGTTTCGAAATGCAGGACGAAGCGGAGGCCTTCACCTAAACTGAGGACAAAACGGAAAAATTACACATGCACCTTTTTGCAAAGATTCATATAAAATACCCTCGAAATGGGTTGGCCATTTTCAGGTCTGGAAGCGCCACGGTGTGCGTGACGGGTTCACAGGGCGGTCAGCGCAATCACAAACGTGATGCTTGTTGGTGCAGTCAGGCGCGCCATGCAGCGGACTTGGACAGCCCATGCACGTCAGCCACAAGCAAATAAAAACACCGGATGCGAAAGACGTAGAATTAAGGTCTCAAGTAATTATTGTTGCCAAATGCTTCTCGCGTAGCAAGCGATGTAGCAAATAAATCAAATATATGAGAAGTTATTATACGTGACATGCGTTTTTGATAGCATGAGATTTCCATGCTCCAAGCTCATGCTCCAGGTGCAGTATGATAAGAATACTACGCGCAGCATAGAAGACATGACATATTGAGTAGGTATATCTGGCTGATGGTTGCCAACAGTGCCAGCCATGCAAATATCACATTATACTAATGACACATCATAGCATGCATATCTGCAGTCAGGACATATGGTAGTCTACTCACACATAACTTTCAGTGTACCTTCACATGTGACAGGATTTTTTTCGCAACGTCACTACTCTGCGCGCGATACCCCACTGCTCGCAGTGGTGCCAGTGCACGACTCCGCCGGCTGGGGTGGACTAGATCGGTGCCTATTGCACCTGAGATGGCTGCTGCCAGCACAGCGAAGATCCGAAAACGGCAGAAAATGCTAGTGTCGACGTGTGATGTACAGACAAAAAACATGCGAGTGTAAACCTGGCAGGCTGGTGTTAAGAACACCAAGCTGTCACGATTTTGATAGATTCGGCTGATGCTCGCACCCATTCAGCCAACATGATACTTAAGCGCATATAAAATGAAAACCATTCTTCCAATTGTTATCACCTTAGCCCAAGCGACAATCATACTATGCAACAAAACCACTCGTGGTGTACTAACGGTGCGGGTAGGGTCAGGCGGTTTGAAACTCATATGTTGTCGAACAGAAAGCGTGGATCAATGAACACGATCAGAGCTAAAATAACACAAACGTGCTTATCAGAATGACTGAACCATTTACCACTCCCGGTTGATTCAGCCTCGAAACGTCCTACGGCTCCACGCTTGACCTTGCGCCGGCCCCTACATGACCAAGACTGTTCAGTTTACGACAATGCAGTGCATCTCTTTATTTTGCGTCAGTTTCTAAGTAAAATTATACTCCGCTGTTAAATCGGCTGCGTTTATGAAACCCGACAGATGCTTGCTGAAGTGGGTAGCATAATCCGCTCTCAGCTATTCCGGTGAATAGTAGAAATATACGGACGTTGAAGCAAATAGCTACTTTTTGCTCTACGCAACAGGATTCAAGGTGAAAGCCTCGGAAGTTACTTCCTACACTAGAGTTGCGCGTCATTCTCTCTTTTTAAAATTGGCTACGGGTCATGTTTTTTAAATTGCTCCAAAGGTGGGATATTCCCCTTTACGAAACCAAATAAGCAGTGCAAATGAACAGACTTGTTATTATTTATGCTTTCTGTCAATAACTTTATGCTCTGTTGAACAAAATGCAGACATATTTCAGAAATCCAGAGACCGTTCAGCGACTGTTCCGGCGACTATTGAGTTGAATTGGTCCAATGCAGCTCTCTCGAACCGTACATGTAAATCACTATTTTTGAGCGGACAAAAAGAAGCGGCTTAACTTCTACCACCTTCCTGTTTATTGCAAATATCTACAGAAACCAAGTGTTGTCACGCAAACGTAAGCAATATGATTGAAAATGTCAAGTATCAGGCATAGCCCTATGCCCCTTTATGTTCAGTTTAGTTCACCAAAAGGCTATTGAGAGATTTGTCCGCGTGCAAAATATATACTAGTGTCTGTTTTTATAGCACCAAAATACTTCAAGTTGGACGCCATGCTAACGCTTTAACACCATTTCATGCATTGTAATATTGATATCGATTGTGCTATTTCCTATGCAGTAGGCCGTGACCGAAACTTTTTGGTCCACTAAGATAGTGGTTTCTGATCACAGCTAGGCAGTGAGGTCGGTACAAGTGGACTATGATTACTTAGTCATGTGACAGAACTATCAGAACCATGGTTGCAAAATAGTAAAATATCCAATACTTTGCAAAGCCTAAAGACCAAGGACATCGTCGAGTCCACCGGCTAAACCTAGGACGTGGGAAGGTTAAAATATTTATGCACACATTGCGTAATATTCGCTTCTTGATCAGCAGGTCAACACATTTCGTTCAGGTGGGTTGTTACGTGGTGGATACTTGTTGAATAGTTGAATAATGATGGAGGACACCCCCAAGTCACCTGAGGGTAATGAAGAAGGGTTAGATGATAGAAAACTGTCTGGAGAAGCTACAAAAATATCTAAGAGCGACGGAGAGGAGATGCAAGATAAAGTAAAAATTCCTGACAAACCGAAAGACTCAAAAAGTCAAGAAGACGAGCAGGTTGAGGATAAAGGTAACTCACATTGTGGTAAGATATCTCTCTCAATCTGCAGAAGGATATCGTACGTCACGCAATTCTTGGTAATTTTCTTCGCCCTGGGAGCATTTTCCTTTGCCGCTTACTCAAGTATAAGAAGGCTGCAATCACGTCACATTCTTGAGAGCAGGGAGCTGGTCTCTCAGAACGACGTCTGGTTTAAGCTAGCTGTATGTCTGCGACCTTTTATGACACCATCGGCATTGGAGGACTTTTATCATTCAAGCCTCAAAATGAGCATCCGGTCTCACATTGCTGGTCTTTCAAAGCACACGTCTTGGGATGAAAAAACGTGGCTAGATGTTACGCTGCAGGCAGAGAGCTATGCAACATACTTTCGAGAGGTCCATCCATGGGAACGAATCCCGGTGAGCCAACTGTGGACATATCAGAACAAGAGTTTTCGGAAAGCGTTCAAAGAGTTCCAGGTAAATAATGTGCGGTTGACGCCCAGAGCATCAGATCCGCCAACAGGAGCAAATGAAGATAAAAATGGCTACACCGCGTCGAAGAAGAAGACAATTCATAGCTCAAGAAAGATTGATTATCCTCTTCTAGGAGATTACTCCCTTAGTCCTCTTTACGCAGGATGCTTAAATATCACTGTCAATGAAAGTATGGCCAAGCGACAAATGGAGATAAACGTAAAGCTGAAGAACTCGTTTGCTTCGAAGTACTCGGATACCAATAGCAACCACACAAGTGTTGTTCTCTTTGAGGCGGCGGACCTTTTTGTATATGATGCAAATGATGTTTTCACAGAAATCCCTATCATTCAAAAGCTCAGTAAATTTACCATCCACTCCCATTCACTGGAGCGCTTTTTGGTGAAGGGTTCGAGCTTCCGCCGAAAAGACACTGACAACTACCACTGCTCCAACCACACGGGCTACTCGCAGACCAACTGCCGGCAGTGGTGCATAACACGGAAGCTCCTAGAATCGATAGAGTGTATTCTTCCGTGGATGCAAGATTTGATACAGAAGCCTTGGCTGGACGAAAAATTCAGGAATCTTGCTCTTTGCTCAGACTATGAAAGCTTTTCTAAGACGCTGGCTGTTCAGAAGAAGTATTTGCAATCGAGTGAAGCTAACATGACTCGCCCGGTGGCAGACTGTCTCGACAGTTGCCCACCCCACTGTTCTACCGTCAAGGTAAGCATATCATGTTGCGATAATACTTTGCGATATGATAAGCCCAGTCTGTATGTATTGCTCGAGGGAGAAACCTTTCATGTAAACGGAGTGACGCGGTGCCCCCCCCCCCCCCCCCGCCCTCCACCAAAACACCTTCCAGGCTTGAATCTCACTTTCGATGTTGCGCCCTCGAGGCCGTCGCATTTGTGTGTACGCGTTTTCTCTGTTGTGCACAGGCAGTGCATCGATTCCCGTTGAGTGTATTGTGGTTCCCATGACATTTCAGCATTTGACCCAATGTGTGGGCACGGCGGACGCAGACTTACCGGAATTCCCCCTAATCTAATCAAGCTGTTCTCACCAACATTAACGCTTCTTAGGTCAGCATCCTGTCACTTGGAAGCAAAATGATCGACAGCGACTACGGTATAAGCCTGACCATCTCACCAGAGGTGGACTCCATTACGGAAGAACTCGACTACGTCCTCCTGAACCTGGTGGCCGAGCTGAGCGCTTCCATCAGCTTCTTGTTCGGCCTCTCCGCCATCGCCATCTACGACTGGCTGGTCGCCTTCTGCGTCTGGTCGGCGATCAAGCTGGGTCTGTTCAGGGACGCCGCCGGTGAGGACGACGAACCCGGCGCGTACGACGCCGAGGGGGCGCCGACGCTTTCCCCAGTGCCACGACTGCAGGTGCAGTCCGAGGACGAAGACACGTCGCCGTCACCCGCGCCGCCCGGCAATGACACCAACGCCAGTCTCATCTGGTACGTGGAGCCCAGCGCCAGGAAGGGCGGCAACCAGGTAGCGCCACTGGAGCCGGCGGGCGAGCAGCGCCAGAGTCCGAATAGCCTCGACCTGCCCAAGGACCCCAGCCCGCTGGCGACGTTCTCACCGTCGACAGACGGCGCATTGGAGAACACCACCCCGATCAACGCCTCGCCACAGCCAGACCCCATGGCATGACTCGGACAGATCCCCGAAGCACCGTCCACAGGGATTGTGCCGCGCGTCTGACACGCCTATCTGGTCCGGGAGTGCCGGCGGGCGCCAAGCGCAGAAGCGCTCGCTCCGGGAATCGCGCAACAAGGGATCGGCACCACCCTTGTCGCGTGAGCATCAAAGTAGTGCTGTTTATCTTACTGGATGCTCGCAGCCCTGAACAACGTTGATACGGGCGCAGTTTTGTTCCAATGATCGCCTGTCATTGTGTGACACTTGTGTGACCATGATTGTGTCACACTTGTGTGACCCTCGTCGTGTCACGCTTGCGTGATCATCACTGTGCCACTTGTGTGATCGTTCACACGTCGACGACGCACCTCTGAAGGGGGCGTTCTTGATGGTTCTTGCGAATGGTGCCCTGTTCGGGGCCGCTTTCACGGGTTCGGGTTCGTTCTAGGCCGCTTTCACTAAAATGACTATTATCGATTCAATGGCTTTCGTTCGTCCATTTCATTGTTTTCAGCTATTCCTCCTTGTCGACGTTTTGGTGTTTGATGTGGACCCGTCACGGCCATTGATGTTGGAGGGTCCAATAAACATTCGGCCTTTCTTGGGCATCTACCCAAGATGTGGTGGCGGCACAAGTGATCACAGCCCAGCAGCGCAGACAGGACTTCTGCCTGCGTCATTCCAAATCAGTGGTCTTGGCGGGGAAGCACAGGGTTGATAAATAGTCCGCTGATAGTCAAGCCCCACCCACCACTTCCAAATAAGCGCCAGATATGGCCCATTTTTAATCAAAGGATGCTTTTCTTTAACTTTTTGAACTTTACTTTTTCTATAACTGAAATCGATGCCTGAAGCCACCGTGAGATAAATCCCGTCAGGCCATGCAAAATAAATGCCGAACGTCAGCGAATTACATTGACACTCGCTCGGATGGCGGGTCAAATTGAACCCCGAAGGTTTTCCGGAATGGTTTCCGAAAGGTTCGGCGTAGCCGCGCCAAATTTTGCATAGCTGTAGACAATTGAATAGCAGATCGTTTAGCATCAAAAATTTAGATGTACCTTCAACGGTTGCTGACCAATAGCAGGTCAAAGTCAGGTAATGGTTTCAGCGAAGGCAATGTCTAAGGAATGGCTCAATCTGATCCAATAACGGAGTGTTAGACGAAGCTATGCATTTCTGAGATACTTTTTTAGGCAACACAACAATTGAATGAACAAATTCCATCGACCTAAGGTCAGTTATCAAGGTCAGATCAAGGTCAAAATCAACCTGCTTTATTACTCTAGGACTAGTTGTATGGGGTAGTTCCTGGTCCTCGTTTCGAATTTATTGATAACAGAAACCGCATTATGCACCTTCCACAGACTTTGAATGGTCAGAATACGTCACTGACATAGAATGACTCAGGTCAACACTTTGTTTTTAGGAACATACTGCCTAGCGCAATCTATGCCGCTTATCCAGATGCAAGACTCAAATTGGTTTTGTATTATTTTGGTCACCATGACCTTCAAAAGGTCAAACGGGGCCAGTGACCTTAGATGAGCGTGTGGCCATTACTTAGAACAATTATTAGGTTCCAGGGGCTCTTTGAAAACCGACCTGAAATTTGACCTTATTTGACCTAATTTGACCCGAAAGTCACATTCTACGATGTGAAACTGTGGCCTAAGAGAGTTCACGTACAGGCCAACACACGCTGTGAATTTTCTGTTTCTAGCCCCCTTAGTTCCTGAGATCTCAGGGGGGTCAAATTAACCCCCACCCGAGCGAAAGGTATTCAACCGGCCACGCCGGGGCGTGTTAAGTCTTAGAAACGCACAGACAACCGCAATAAGAAAACTAGAGAAAGTACAGCAAAAGCGTATTAAGTGCACGTACGCCAAGGTCTTTAACATCACTTGTGTGGAAGATAATTTGTTGCCAAAATGTGCCAACATATAAATATATATATATATATATATATATATATATATATATATATATATATATATATGTGTGTGTGTGTGTGTGTGTGTGTGTGTATATGCTGATGAGTATCAATATGTACATGTATTAACTGTTAAATAATGTTGTAATTCCGAGGACACCTAGTGTCAGCGTTTAATACGGTGTCATTGTTTCTGAACGTTTATGTCGGGAAGAAGCATTACATTTTCACGTTAACCTTTATTTCGCACTGTCATGAATTTTAAACCTGAACACTGTTCACGTGTGCCATTTCAACGCCAAAGTAGCTCTGCATTACTGACATTACCGAAAATATTGTCTTTCCTCTGAAAGGAAAATTGACTGAAGTGACCATGTATGGCCTGGTCTCAATAAATTATGGCACATCCGTGGATAGTGTCAGCTGAATATGCTCGAATAGGCCATTCTGCCAACCAGTCAGTTTTCAAGACATGCTGTTTGTAAATTTGTGGGCGGAGGTTAAACATCGAAGCAACGCTGCCTGTTAAAGGGGGTGTTCCCCCTCTATACGGGGTTTTGACCTGAAATAATTATTTTGAGGAACTTTTGATGCAGTTCACGTTCATACCCCTTTTAAGACCGAAAACGCTCTGGCTGCTGAGTTACACGAACGCAAAAGTCAGAAAACGTTTATTGGGAGACTACTCTTGTCACCCTGGCATTGATGTCGTCATAGAAACGTCATACGATCGTTGTTTCTCCTAATGGTCAAAGCGGTGTTGCCGCTAGTGCATTTGCAAAAGCGATGATACGGCACGTATGATTCAATCTGCGGAAGGTGATTGGCTGTTGGTAAGATTTCGCCGTTGTATGCGTGACTCGAACGTGAGCGTGAGCACTTTCGGGTTATCCGGCACTCGTCGTCAACGGGGCATTTTTCTTTATTTCTAGGTCATAGGTCAATGTTATGGAAAAGGACACCAATGTCTGCAAAAAAGTACGGCACCGAAAAACGGCACTCTCTTGAATGTTATCAAAAATGAAGGCGCGACGGCAAATCTGTCTTTCTTTCTCCTGCTGGCGTTTTTTCTTCTGCTAATGACGTATTCCTTACAGACAGCTCGGTTGGCGCCTTGTGCACCAAAGCAAAGAACCTTGCACCGGTTGATGTGTTAGCAAAGCACTATAAACCTCTTGACACGCTTTACCATGAACCCCCTTTGGCACTTTGTTTATAAGGGAGCTCACAGTGAAATGCGGTGTTATGACCAAAAACCTGTGCGGAAATTGTAAGAAAACCTGCAGTTTGTTAGGACCGGGGTCTGTGCAAGTGTCGGATTTCACTTATTGGGCATTATAGTGTGAATCAGGCGCTTGAAATGGGTGTGATCCCTAATGGTCTGTGCCAGTGACGCGCATTGATCTTGGTCTGATGGGGAGTGTGCGTGCGAAGTTTGTCTTTCTGAGAGAGAGAAAGAGAGAGAGAGAGAGAGAGAGAGAGAGAGAGAGAGAGAGAGAGAGAGAGAGAGAGAGAGAGAGAGAGAGAGAGAGAGAGAGAGAGAGAGAGAGAGAGAGAGAGAGAGAGAGAGAGAGAGAGAGAGCATTGCTTTGGTATTCTCTAAGTAACAATAGCACCTATGGTGCGGGAATGCACAAAGGCAATTTCGCTTGGGTTTCCAAATTCGATGACCTCCATTCGGTGATGTTTTCTACCATATATGTATACCTGGTGATGACAACGTCGCACGAGATCACCTCGCGTGCCTTATACCACACAAGGCGTTTTACAAGCATTTGGGCAACGTAAAGCGTTCGGCTGCGCAGTGTTGCGGTGAGAGTCGATCGGGTAAAAGACACGTCTCCAGGTAGTCGGGATTTGTTTGGTTCAAAGGCCATATTCGCTCCAACTTTTTGCACATCCCCGAAAACTTGGAGAACCGCTCTTAGATTATCACACTCTCTTTAATATGTCACACTCCATTAATATTACAATATATATAGATGCGTATATATATATATATATATATATATATACACCCATATATATATATATATATATATATATTTATATTTGTATATATATACATATATGTGTGTGTGTGTGTGTGTGTGTGTATGTCAAACTCTTGACGAGCTAGTCGCAACAGCACAGCTCATACCGCTTGCCACAAACCATTTGTGTTGCAAACACGTCTAAACACTCTCTACATAGTGACCAACAACACGATAATTTAGCCGATTCAGGGCGCGCTGATGCATTTTGCGGCGCAAAAAACTTCGATGTGAGGGCGATCAATTGTCGCGGACGATGAGGCTTTTGGCTGCTATCAACTAATGATGCATCATGAACCCAATATATCTATCAAACCATTCAAACGGCGTAGCAAACGATAAACACAGGTGCATAAAGCCTGTTACCTACCCACCGGAGCGCCGCTCAGAGTGTATTGAAGCCCTTGGTCACGCCACCTGCAGCAGGGACCAGCCCCAGGTCTCGTCAATGCGCCTTCACTTACTAGACTAGCTTACTGGCCTGCCGGCAACAGTCTGCTGGGTTCGGCACTTCTCATACGGTGTCCGCCGCTGAAGGATTGGCCCACAGAGAGCTCGACATCGTCACAACCACAGACGAGGTTGCGACACCAGGTTTGTACTGGAAAGGAAACCTGAGGTGCACGAGGTGCCAAAATGGTCACATGCACATGTGTCCGGACTAGCATTGGCTTGATGCCATACGGAGATTATTCAAAGGTTTCCCAACTGATGAATTCCTGAAGTACTTCGTGATCCACAGAAAGGTGCAAACTGAACTGGGCAAATTAATTGGACAAGTGTTCTGGTGACCGGTGGGGATTGGCAATTCCTGACATTGGTAGCAACTGACATGGACAACGGCATAGTTATACGTAACAGGCCATCTGCGCTTTCGGAATTCGATTTCCACCGCCGCTCCGGACAACCAGCACAAGCAGCTCAAGTTGTTTTGAACTAGTTACACTTTGTATGCTCAATATTGACACTTCTAAGATGAATCAGTTGTCAAATAATCTTGTACCACTCATCTTAAGCCTGATTTTGATTCGTGCTTGTTATGATCCATGTGTCATGGTTAATCACACCATCTGACCTATATCCACACGAGCTCCAATGCCAACCATTCAGTGGTGCAGGTTGATCGTTCTTGAGCAGTCCCAGTCGTGGTGCGTGGCCCATTGTCATGGTGCGTGGTGCGTGGTGCGTGGTGCATGGTGTGTGATGCGTGATGCGTGGCGCATCCATGTCATGGTGCGTGGTGCGTGGTGCCGCCATACTGCTTGGTAGGGCCCGCTGTCGAATATGGTGTTACACAGGGAAATAGAACATTGGGTATTCCAAAGTTTTGGGTAGTAGGTATCGACACATTCTATAAGTATACCGGAATCGGGATTAACGCCAGATTTAGTATGTTGTACCAAAAGTTGTCAGTGTTGTGTTAGCGGCATCTTTGGTTTGTTTGTGGCGATTAAGTGTAATAACGTTTCTCAGTCGCAAAACGCTGGAAGTGCGTTGCGGTAGTGGGGATGGTGGCTGGAGGATTAGATTGTGTTCAAATAATTTCAGATGCCTCTAGGCCAATCAGATGCGTGTTTTTCTTTGCCAAGTCACATTATGTCTCAGTTTGCGTATAATTACTCATTTAAACGTTCTGCACCAAAACTGATCATGTATTGATTCAGTTACTGCACAGCGAACCAATATTTCGGCCTAGGCTACCGGCTGTTGAGTGCTTGTGGAATACTGTATGCGAAGTAACTGGCCAAGGTGTGCTTAGGTATATTAGTTTGGACTTACGGCTCTTTTTTCAATGCATCAGGTACTGAAATTGTTGACTCATTGGC